GGGGGGAGGAGCAGCAACCAAAAGACAAAACAGACGAGTTAGTGTAAGAAGCACGTTTTAGCAAAATGAGCTGTTAGTCGTCATAAACACATTCAAACTTCTCTTACAGGAAGTGTGTCTGTGAGTTTTAAAGACTGGGTGAGAAACGACGCAGGACGAGTCATTTCAGCCATCAAATCCTCTCGAGTACCACGGAAACTAAATGAGGGGAGCATGTGGTGCAAACTGACTGTGGCTGGAACAGCAGAACATGGCATGGCTGGAGGAATCAGCGTGTAAGCCGAGCCTACAAACCCCACCACACTGATGATCAGGGATCAGTGTGACCAGCACGCTGTTTGTTAGCACCAGCTGATAATCTAGCACTCTTCCAAATATGGACACGTCCGCCTTAACAAATCACCAAAGCCGGGAACACAGCAGTGTCGCGTTCAGGCTCCGATGTCATCGTCAGAGCTAACAAGATCACGCTTGCTGTTCCAACAAACACAATGCAGCTTATTTCAGGAGCCTCCCAGAAGCTCTGCTCCACATTGCTTAAAATAGCACCGGCTCGATTTCTTGCAGGATCCATACGAAGCTGCACGGCGCAGCTACCAGAGGAGGGTCCAGTCTGAAGTTCACTGATGTGCTTCTGACGTCCAGTGTGACCTGCGGCGGTGCAGATGCACGCCACGTTTAATCCTGCTAACACTGACGCGTCAAAAGCCAATAAGGACGTCACCGTGGTTACGTTCATGGTTATTATGCCGTCTGCGGTTATCGCACACACGAGAACACCAATTACAGACAGAGCTCCAGGATCTCTGAGGCCTCGACACATTATGCGGCTCTTAACCTCGAAGCTTGTACGACGGAGCAGCGATCAAACATCGTGAGCCAGTTTCAGTTCTGCTGCCTCCTGAGGGAAAATATTAACGACGGGAAGGATGGAGGGAAACAGCAGTTGTCCTCCGTCTTTCTTTGCCTGCAGTAATTTCATTTCTTCTCCGTCTCCTGTCCTCGCTCATCTCTCCATCGCTCCTCCGACTCTGCTCCTTGTCACTCGCTGTCCCTTTTGATTCCTCTCCGGCGCTTCTTCCATCCCACCGAGCGCCATCCTACTCCCGTTGACCTCTTAATTGATATATTGGCTTAAAGGAAGGGACACAGGGAAATGTTATTTGGAGGTAATTTCAGCAGGGCTGGGCGCGCCTGTCGGTTCCTCCCTGGCGAGCTGAGCTGTCAGTGGAATTAGGTTACGGACCACACGGAGATAATGAGACGTAAGACACGATGGGAAGCAGGAAGGGAGAGATCGGGAATGAGAAGTGACAGTGTGTGCAAACACAAAGACACCAGGCCTAATGGGGAAATGGGACTGACGGAGGATGAGGGGGAAGAGAGTGCATGTGTAGCTGTGAGCTGCCAGCTGGGCTTTAAGAGGAACTCTATTCTCACGCAACGTTGTTCCTGTAATCCGGTTCCTCTACCTGGTGTTCAGTCACTTACTCTGGAACCACAAAAGGCTTTAAACAACTTTCTACGTGCCTGAGATACGTGGCTGTATTGATAGATCTGCTCTGACTGGCATCATATTGAGGCACAAGTAAAGGAAAGAACTGCAGCCTGAAGCTTTGGGCTCACAGTGTTGCACCTCTAAAATAATCGAATGAGATTAAAAGACAGAAAAGAAATAAAATGAGAAATAAAATTAGTCTGAACTGATTCTGGTTTAAAATAGAATAAAATTGGGTTTTCAAATGTCTAATGTTGTGGAGGGGAAGTTCCCGGTTTAGGAGCAGTCACAGCAAAAGACCTCGGGACAGCTCGGAGCGTTCGGTC